CCAGAGTTCATTGAACAACAGTGAAGAACTACTATTTGTATTTAACAGGCTATCTAGCTGTATTCACAGAACATGCCAGAACCATAGTGGCAAAGATCCAGTGGCTGCATTTGCACATGCTTAGTTATTGCTTATGTTGGGTTAGTTTCTTTGGAGCTTAGCTTATTGTGCAAACCAGTCAGTTTGATTAGTTTATGGTTCATTGTGTTGTGCAGTCCCCAAACCAGGAATAAGTTAACTGAATTGTGCAAACGCAGTCTGTTTTAGAATGCCATTCTGAAGAGGGTTTGAAAGAAAAACAAAGGTTGAAAGTATCCTTCTCAGAAATTAAATCCGTAACTCTTTTGCTTTCATATGAATTCTACTTTCTTCCCTACAGCAGCTATAAAAATTAAAAGACAGCCACAATGTTAGTTTCAGTTTAGCAACATTACTTCTAGATTTGTTACGTTATTAGAAAAATGTGCATATCTGTAATTAAAATGTTATTTCCAAATGTATTTGTATTTTGAATTAGTTTACCAGTGTTGTTGATTATGTGCCATCAAGCCCAGTGTCAACTCTTAGCAACCATATACATTTTCTCCATGATGTACCAATGTTCTATTATCTTTTTTTTTTTGTCAGTAATTTTAATAGCCACCTAATAACAGGTTCCTGTCAATGTCATTTTGTTTCCTGGAAGTGTATTCTTTAGCGAAGTGCTTCTACAAATGCAGTGAGTAATTTTAAAATAGGAAGCAAACGCTTTTGCATTTTCCGTATTGTATGTGGCTTTTTTTAAAAATACATGACTCGGCAGCCATGTTATTTCCCAGTTGTAGTGATGTTACTTTCCCCGTTGATAAGGTGTGCTGCCCATCTTATGTAACTTGATTCCTCAGGTATTACTTTAATCCCACCAGCACTGCCTCAGAGCACCTCTCAACACTCATAGACACAGGGATACAAAAAGCACATGACAGCAGACAGCCTCCTTTTTTTCTTTTCTTTTTGCACAAAACAGAACATTTATTCAAGTGTTCTCCAGCACAAGTACATTAGCAAGGAGCCTTCCTTATTCGAGTGTTCTGAGCACAAAAGAAAAACGCAAAGGATGGGATGGAGGCGGAACGGACAGACTTTCTAACATCTGCTGCACCATTGACCTTTTAATTAGTTTATAAAACAGCTATGTCACGAGCAATACTTACACAGAGATACAACAGCCTGCCCATAGGGATGAGGAGATGGGCCTCCCCAACCCTGGCAAAGCAGAACCATACTCTGAAATGTACATTATTTATTTGTCAATAAATATAGAAGCAATCCTAAAAAAAAAAAGCGTCTGAAAGGATGGGGCATCCCAAAATCATCCCCAAAAAATAAAAGAAAAAACACGGAAGGGCTGGGAGAATGGAACTGAAAAAGGAAAGGAAGGACATCTGGGTTGAGCTGCATGGAATGTCAGATGGGAGGCGGCTGGAGAGCAGGGAACTGAGCTCTTCCCAGGATCTCAACACAGTTTATTCTTCAGCATGAATACATGATTTCTCACAAACAGTAAAGCGTCTCAGCTACTTCAATGTCTAAGCTAAAACACATGAAATCTTTTCCTTTAGGTTTCAAGTACAAAGTTAAAATGCCTTTTTTTTTATAATAATATATAAGAGTAAAATAATAGAGCTCTTTTAAACTTCACTACAAGAAAAACAAAACAGTCATTGTCCAGACAGCAGACTTAAGTTAATAGAGATCTGTAATAAAACTGTTTAGCACCTTGGTTGTTACCTTGTCCCTCTGCAAATGCCAAAGGAATTCAGGCAATGGAGGCAGGGGGTTTGGTTGCTTTGCTTTTCAGTCTAGGGCTGTGCAACCTTGACAAAAGGTTTGTTATAAAAAGATCTGAGTCACATCCATTCGTAAACTCAGTCTCCCCTCTTGCTCCCCACCACATAGGGAAAACAGCTGGATTCTGTGGTGGGCAGTGAAACAGGCCCAAGGCAAATACATCAGGAAAGTTTGAAAGACAACACAAATAAAGGCTTCCCAAGAGGCCACTTCCAGTTTGGGGACAGAACTGGATGGGCACAGATGTGGCCCTGCTTGAAGAGAGGTTGGACTGTTCAGAACTAAAGTCCACTGGCAGTGCCAGGAATACACTGAGGATCCAGCTAAACTGTCAGCTACTGGAACTGACGTTAGGAATTATGTGGCCAGCCCCATGTCTAAATCGAATATGCTGAAAGGAAGACTTTGGGGAGAAAAGGATGTAACTACTAAAGGTATACCTCGCCCCCCAAATAAATTCTTCTCTGAAGCATACAATTGAAAAAAACCCATACCCCCTTCCCACCATTTGGGGAGATACCTGGAACCTCCTCTCCTTCAACCAGCCCTTTGGCTCAGATTACTTTGGCTGGAAATCAGCCAAGGACAAACTCATAGGAAGCTGCTTTATTCTGAATTATACCATAGATCCCTTAACCTAGTACTGTCAACCCTGAGTGAGAGGATCTCTACAAGGTTTCAGGCAGGAGTTTTTCCAGCACCACTTGGAAATGCCCGGGTTTGAATTTTAAGATCTTCTACGTGGAAAAGACGTACATCATTGAGCTACAGTCTCTTCCAATAAATACTTCCCATTTAGCACCAGTGAAACTAGACTACAAGAAACCCAGAGGGAATCTCTCCCCCTAGCTTTGTGGCAAATGGGTTGGGAAGAAAGGCTTGGAAATCCTGTAAGGAAAACCTCCCATTGAAGAATTTTGCAGAGACAGGCAGTCACTGAACCAATGACCAAGGGGGGTCAGAGGAAGAATGGAGTGTGAAGGAGACTGCCTATCATGGAGGCAACAGGTGGGGGGGGCATATCTTGCCAGACAGCCCCGTCCGAAGTAACCACCGTTCTCCCTTCCCCATTCGGCCCTGAGCGAGACCCCAGCACCCTTCACAGTTTGAAGGAAAGTGAGCAGAGGCACCTACCTGCCACCCTAACTCCCCCAAATTTTAGCACCAAGACCAACAGCCTTCAACAGAGACCCTTCCTTGTCTGCTGCAACTGTTTCACCACTCAAGAGATTGCGTTGGGGAGTGTTAATGAGAAGGCAGAGGGAGATCTGCTATCTTCCACCAACATTCCCACCTGGCTCCTGAGTTTTGCCTCAGCATCTACTCCATTGCCTCCGAGAGCACCATGGACACAGGGAAGACAGGAGCAGAGGGGAGATGCTGTCCCCTGTGGAGGCACAGATGGAAAAGCTGCTGAGGCAAAAGCTGGTTGTGGAGGAGTAGGGAAGAGAAATCCTCATTAGCACCAAGAACTTTGGACCCTGTTGGGATCAGTCTCTGCAAGCAGAAGGGAGAAGCAGCCTCAAGTCCGTGCACTGAGGATTGACCAGAGCCCAGTGGCCATCCCTTATACATTGTGCATCACAGACTCATGGTGAAGGTCATTTATCCCCTTGCCCCAAAGAGTAAAGTGCACACAATTACCAAGATATACTCCAGGAAATTTGACTCCTAAGCCAGACCTTGCACACGAGAGTTCATCAGGTCCTGGAGAGACTCTCTTCACAGAGAACTGCCCACCTTTATTTTTGCCCCTCTGAACCCTCAACGTGTGTGTGGGGGGGGGAGGGAGGAGAAAGGTAGCACAGCCAGAGTCTGATCAAGCAAAACAGGAAGTCTATAATAATCCATGTCAGCCACAAATAGAAGGAAGGAGGGGGAGAAGGCAGCAGGTGCTGACCTCCAAACACACAAAATCACAAAGGAATGGGGCAGAAGGGTTACTGCAGTGCAGGATGGCAGGGGCTCTTCTCTCTCTTACCTCCCTATCCCCGTAATTATTCTGCAGCTGAATTTATATTTTAAGGGGCAAACGTGGGAGAAAAGGAGCAGAACCAAAAGATCTGATCAGGAACCTTACAGCCAGTGAGTTCAGAGATGACCAAAACAAGCACTGCTGGTCCTTGGGTGCTCTCTGCCTCCTGGTCTGGCAGGCCAGGTTGGTTTCGGGGAGAGCCCAGGAGGACCCCAGACAACGGCCAATTTCAATAAAGCACCACTAACGTTAGGGCCCCTGCCTGGAGCTCTGCAGGGGGTAGATTAGCCCCATCTAGCAAGGCCCAAGCCCCTGGCCTGAGGGAGGTTTGCCTTTTCAGGAAGAAAAGTATTATTGCATGCCACCCGGGGGGCGGAGAATGGTGCCCGTCAGCCTTCTCTCCCTTATAAGATGGGGCTGCAATCAGTTGGAAAAAGCTCCCCCCACCATTCCTGCGGGCTAGCGTGTGAAGCACCACGGAAGCTGCCTTCAGCCCCACCCTCTGTGGTTGTAGAAGCACCATTTTGAAAGTCAGTTGTACAGTAGTAACAGTACCTTTTATATATATAGATATTTCTCTCACATAACTCTCACATATATATAAACTGTAAACAAGAGGTAAGAGCGGCTGTAGGAGCAGGGTGTATCAAGGTCTCCTGTGTGATAGGCACCCAAATACTCTAGTGTGTGGCTTGGGGGGACCAGGTAGGACTGGTAGCTTCCCAGCTTGCGCTCGCCCCAGTAATGGCGCTGATAGACGCAAGGAGGTCCCGTTGCACCTCATTTTGTGCTCCTAAACTGAGCTTGGGCAATAGAGCCCCAAGGCCCATTTCAGCTTTGGGCTTGGCTGGAGTTTTCTCTTTTGCGGTGCGTCAGTGGACAGCCCGCATTGCTGGGGGCTCAGCCGAGGAGCGGCGGAAACCAAACTAAGAGGCAAACCCATCCAGAAAGAGCAGGAAATTAAAGGATTACCAACAGAAAGTGGGATTGGTTGGTTTGATTGGGGCATTTCAAATTGGGGAGAGGATGGGTGAAGATTTGGGTGATGGGAGCTGCATATGTATGCGGGCTGTCCTCTCCCACCCTCTCACCCACCAGCCATTTCCTCCATTCTGGTGCCACTTCTCTTCTGTTCCTGGGGGTGGTTGTGTTTGAGACTCCTCCTCCGCTTTGCCAGTTTTGTGGTTACGTCTCTTTAAACACAGGCAAAGTACTCCTTTAAGGGGGCGAAGAGATGGCGGATCACTGGCACGCTCCAAGAACGACCCAGCAGTCTCTGCCTTGCCAGGCGGCTCATGTTGGACACATCCGTGTAGTGGACCGGAAAGCCAAAGACTCTGTAAGCACAGGATGATGATTTAATGCTAAGACCCTGACATAAAAAAAGCTAACAAAAAGGCTGCTGCACTTGGATAAGATTTCATTTACAATTTTAACGTGTGCTATTTGGGACTGGGGTAAAATAAATGGTTGCTATAATTGCTACTGACCAACAGGAGGTACTATGTGATTAATTTTGCCCTTACTGAGATTCACTATCCCCAGCTAGTGTCCATATGCCAGTCCTTTGAACTTAGATTAATATAAAAATGGGGCTGATGAATCCCAGTGAAGACAAAACTAGTCCCATAGTGCAGGGGTCCTCAACCTTGGCAACTTTAAGACTTGTGGACTTCAACTCCCAGAATTCCTCAGCCAGCTTTGCTGGCTGAGGAATTCTGGGAGTTGAAGTCCACAAGTCTTAAAGTTGCCAAGGTTGGAGACCCCTATCACAGTGCCTTCTACTGGGCAATGGCAAAAACAGCATTTGTTAAAATATAGAAACCCTCCCTTAAGGGAGGTCTTGAAGCTTCTAATATGAGGCCCAAATAGCTCCCTCTGGTGTAAGGCCCAATAGCTATCAAGTCTGAGAACTCTGCAATACATAAAAACAAATTGTATTGTGCCAATGGGAAAAGGGGAAAAATAGACTGTGCGGCAAGGGAGGCCTTTCTAAGGGCGAGTGGAATGTTTATAGCCAAGCATATAACCAGGCCACAACTAAGCCACAATGGGGGACAGGCTCCACAGAAAGGTTATGAGCTGCAAGTTCTTCAGCTCATTCTTGAAAGAAGGCAAGCCCAGCCCCCCTACACCATTCCCACCTCTCCATCTCGGTGCACCACAGGATGTCTTCCTTCTCATTCATAAAGACAGGGAAATGCTGGTCCTTGCCTTGCTTGATGGAATTGGAACGTGTGGTGATGGTTCGTACTTTGCTGAACTACATTGGGAAGACAATATATACAAACAAAAAGTGATTATCAGCAGGTCTTCATACCACCCATCATAAAGCTACTTCTGAGCTAATTCTTTACATTAGCCTTACATTGGCTTGTGGCAGGTCTCTGTGTTATTTCCACTACCTTCTACCTTCCTAGCTTTAATTTCTGGATCGTATGAAAATGATGGTAAAACCATGTCTCTCTAAGCCAATGGTTCTCAACCTTTTTAATGCCGTGACCCCAACCGGTCGTAAGTCGAGGACTAAACCGGTCGTAAGTCGAGGACTAAACCGGTCATAAGTCGAGGACTAAACCGGTCGTAAGTCAAGGACTACCCAACGGGTCGTAAGTCAAGGACTTTCCCTGCCCGGGAGCGCCGCACATGCGTGGTTCTGCCCCCTGCACCGGCCAAGGCGTAGCTGGCAAGCGGCAGAGACAGAGCAGGCTGACCACCAGCTGGCCCAGCTCAAGGGAGGTAAGGCACCCGCCGGGAAAAGGGGAAAAAAATGGCGGACAAAAAAAAATGGCGGACAACCTTGCTTGGCGACCCCCGTGAAATGGTCGATCGACCCCAAATGGGGTCCCGACCCACAGGTTGAGAACCACTGCTCTAAGCTACTGCCAATCAATGGTGGGTTCTCTTTTCTTTCTTTGCCTCTTGAGCTATGAGAAGAGGCTCTGTTTGATGTTTTCTTTCCAAACTCTTCCATGAAGACTTGTACATCCAAATTCATTTTGGTTTCTCATGCTCACCTTAGCTATCCGGCCATGTTCCAGGCACTCTTGCAATTCCAACTTATCATTCACAGTTGAAGCCAGAGGCCTGTAAGGAAAACCAGGTTCATATAATTAGCTCTTAGGAATCTCAACTCTTTTCGCTACTCTCCCTAAAAGCTCTCTTTTAAAGTATTTGTACCATAAACAGAAAGGGTTATTTTGGGTTGTTACTATTTTATGAATCAGGAATATTTTATTGAATTAAGAAATATTTTTCTCAAGCTGAATAAAAATGGACAAATAGTTTTGTTGAGGCCAAGAAAGTTCTTAAAACTGTCTGACCTTTTTTCCCCCCAGTCTAGAATAATCACACACAAACACAAAAACAGACTCCATTGTTTCACACAAGAAACATCACAGTGGCAATCCCAAACTAGATTCTTGTCTCACAAATAAGCAACAACAAATTGCTCCACTAACCCCCAGGATATGCCAAAATTACTTCTTAGCAATTTCCCTTAATTTAAAAATTATGGATATAAATGGACATTTATGAAAATATTTTAGCTTGCCTTTAGCACCACTCATAACCTCAGCAAATAAAGACCCTGAGACATGTTTTCTCAATGGTGCTCCCCATGCTAAGGATCATGTTCCTATGCTTTTTACTTTGTAAAAACTCTTGCTACTGTTGTTACTATAGCTTTTCTCTTTTCAAAAAAAAAGGACATACTTTCTTCCTTCTTGTTCCTCAACCCTTGAATTTCCTTCCTTGCTTTACCATTGTTATTCCATTACTTCTTTCCCTAGCACTGAAGAGATTATTTCAGATGGAGCTCATTACTGACTTTTACCTAACAAGTATACTTGTTTGCAAATCTTCCTGTTTACATTCAATTACATTCAAGCTGTTTGTTTAGTGCCTGTATCTCAATAAGTAGACTGAATAATTGTATTTAGCTATGACCCTGATTGCTGTTAATAGCTCAATCTCTTGACCATTAAAGTCTCTTCAGAAGCTTCCTGTTTCCATTGTCCTTTTGACTGAAATTTACATATGTATAAGAAATGTATAAAAACCTGTACCAGTCGCTGGAGGGAGTGTTGTGATTGTGCCATCATTTCTGACTCCTGGTTAGGGTTAGAATTAGGATGGACTAGAGTAAAAGGTTAGGATTGACCACATTGCTATCTCTATGAAAATTTATCATGGGGTAATAAATCAAGCTGTAGAGAGATGCCTATGCAATACTTCTCTCAGTTCCCAAATTGCAATGTATCATTCCTTTTCCCTGCTGCAAATTTCCTTAATGCCCCCAAGACACAGGATCTAGCTTGTCTTTCACAAGGCCGTAAAAGCAATCCCTTGGTGATAAGCTCTCAATGTAGATAATCGATCTGGCCCTATCTTCATAAATTGTCATTTACACTTAAGCGTTTTTACTTGTGCTGTATATCAAAACTACCCTGAATTGGTCAAAATATGACAGCATACCCACAACACCCATATAGCATATACATTTGCTAAATAAATAAATAAATAAAAATAAATAAGTTATGCTGATAAAAGATTTGTTCAAACCTTACAGAATTGTTAGTAAAATATATTGAAGCTGATTCGAGGTTTGAGAAATCACAACAAAAATAGCGATCTCACCTAGTTGGGTACTGAAAGTTTGCAAGCAAACAACCAAAAGTCAGAAAACACCAAGAACTCCACAGTTCAATCCTGACCTACAGATATTCTCTTTTATTAAAAATCATAAAACCATAGAAGAATCAAATTCATGCAAATATAGACACTAGATTTAATGTTTCTCAACCTTATTTATTTTTATTTTTTAAATTTATTTGCCACTCATCTCACCACAAGGTGACCAACCTTGGCAGCTGGCTGGGGAATTCTCGGAATTGAAGTCCACACATCTTAAAGCTATTTAATAGATATGACAAGGGTAATGAGAGAATCCAGCCAAGCAATTCTTCACATACAAAAAGCATCAACAGTTGAATAGGTTCATACTTTAACAAAACAGCGACTCATCTAACGGTAGTTGATGCCTGTGTGGGTAGCTTATGCTTATAACTTACCTGTTCATGCCAGGCAGGTTTCCCCAGAAGTACCGGGCTCTGTGGGCTGCAGAGACTTCTTTGGCATCGATCATCACTGGATTGGACTGTAAGAAGGAGAGAGGCGAGGAAAGTCACACTATAGGGTATCAAAATGAGGCTACTTCTTGAAGTTTGCAACAGGTGGATTTGCAGGCTTCTTCAGGCCATCTGAACCTTTCCAAGATTTTCCCTGCTCCCCCCATTCTGTTACTTCAGTCACACAATCCTGGCCATTCTGGTTCCTTACAATCAGGGTTACAACTATGCATCATCTCATGTATGTATATATATACTGGAGTAGACAGGAATTCTTTTTAAAAAATCCCAGAAGATGCTACTGGCTTCTATACTGTTCTCTATACTGCTCTAAGAAAACAACATGAATTTGTACATGTAGTCATCAAGTATTAAGCTTGTATAAATGGACAACTTATGCTATTGTATCTGAGTAACAGCTTTAATCTCAGTCCATCCCAAATCCAGGGACCATAAGGTTAGGGCTGAATTATTTGGAGGGTGAATAACCAAGCTTACTGTGTAAAATGTGAGGTGTTATATTCTCTTGAGGATGGCTTGAAGGGCCTCCCATGTTGCCGTGCCATGTATGCGTATGATCAAAATATGGGATAATGGCAAAGCAGCAAGCAGTTTCATGCCAGAAGCAATTGCCGGAAGTACTTTCTCTGCGCGTCCATTATTATTCTCCAATGAGATCACACAGTCCTGAATAATATGGGCTATGAATAGTATGGAGCTTTGTCAGCTGGGCCCATAAAACGTAGAATGAATTATGTATTTTGATTCAGTCTTTACACAAGATAATTTCTTCATTAATTTAAAAATGTAACTTTTCTAACAATTTGCCCTTCCTCTTTATCTAGTCAGGCTAGAGCAGGGGTGTCAAACTCAATTTCATTTGAGGGCCGCATCAGTATTGTGGTTGCCCTCAGGGGGGGGGCGCGGATGGGTATGGCCAGGATGGGTGCAGCCTACTGGGTAAGTGTGGATGGAGTGGGTGTGGCCTACTGGGTGGGCATGGCCAGCTCTACATCGTTCGCGTCAAGGGTGCCTGTGGGGGCCTGGGCAGGAGTGGGACAGATCTGAGGGTCTCGGGCAGAAGGAGGTGGGACCGGGGCAAGCGCCAAGGCATGGTCCATTTCTTCATTCCTCACAAAGGGTGACACCTCCCCAGCATGCACCTAGGGGGCGGTGCCGACACAGCAGAGGCTGGTTCCTCGGTGTTTCTAGACAGCCCTGTGGAGCTAAGACTGAATGCGTTTCAGCATAGATGGCCACCACAAAATTGTACATTGGCTCCCAGCCGGCCTGGGCCAGGGCCAAGGCAGCGGGGGCCGTTCCCTCACTGTTTCCAAGATGGCTTCACGGGCCACATGAAACCACTTTGCGGGCCACATCCGGCCCCCGGGCCTTGCGTTTGACATGTCTGGGCTAGAGTCTCACTGCAAAGTCCATAATTTTCTCCAGTGGCAGGAAGGACTGCCTAGACTTGGGATATAAGATGGCAGTAATACAGATCTTGCCAGGAGGTGAGAGGGTGGCTAAAAAGTGATGCTGCTTTGCCTAAAAAAAACCCATCCCATCTTTTTGGCCATGGTCCCATTCCCCCCACCCCACTTGGCAAGCAAGACTTGCTCTTCTACCCAGAAATATTCCAAGACTGGCTACGGGGAAAGCCCCTCACCTCACCTCACCTCTAGGAAGCGAGAGATGTCCCTTTTGTCACTGACGCCCATGGCCACCACATTTTCAAACAGCCAGAAGAAAGGTCGGTCATCTCCCTCCTTGGGTCTGGCCTCATGAAGGAGACGATAGAATTCAAAGAAGAGTCGCCCTGTGCCCTCTGGGTTAGGAAAGCAAAGGCAGGGAAAGGTGGATTCTTGCGAAAAGGAACTGAGAGACGCAGGCCAACAGTTTCCCTCTCCATAACCATTAAAAATCTGACTTATAGAACCTAGGGACTTTTTAAAGCACTGAAGAGGATCTATCTCCTTCAGATATGACAATATAAAGTAAAAGTAAAAGCAGTGCTCTGATCCTAGGTTTAACTTGATTTCTCAAGTTGTGTGTGTTACTCAATTACATCGATTTCTCTTTACACTGCAAAGATGCATTCCGAAGCTCAAGATTTTTTTATCTCCATGGTTAACTGGCATCTTTTGAAATACTGTTTGTATAGATTAGTCACTAATCTATACAAATTAGTCACTATACAAGTCACTGTTTGTATAGATTAGTCACTAATACCAGCTTTGCAGTCCTATTAGATTTCTTATAAGTACTCAATGTGCTAAAGAGCAACATGCACATGGATTTCTTTTCCAATCCTCAGGGTATCTGAGATAGTAATACGGGAGAGAAATATATTTCAATTTCCAGGTGCTGGCAAACTATATTTCCCATTAATTGCAATCAATATGACTATAAACAAAGGATGCTGTGAATTAGTTAACTGGTTTCTGAAGGACTATAGTTCCTTACCTCTGGATCAACTGCCTATAAAACAACATATCCTGTATAAACCACAGAAGGGATAGATGGTAGCACTTACCATAAAGGCCTTTCCTGGCAGGATTAACAATGGAGAGGTCATTGCAGGGGCTCCCTCCAATCACTAAGTCAAAGGGGCCCCATTCCTGAATCTGTAACATATGGAGATTTAATAGTCAGATGCAGGAGGAGGATGCATCTGGGGCTGTGCTAGCCTCAGTTACACAAGCCAAAGGAAGCCTCCCCATCAAAGCTCCACGTACATGTTTCTGAGTGACACTGCGGACGTCCCCAACATACATGATCTTGCCCTGGTGTCGGACCATCCCAACTGTGATAGAATCTTCACACACCTCAGATGCTATGTATCGATCCACCTGGATGCCCAAATCCTTTAGCACAAGGAGTCCTGGAAAATGAAAACCATGATGTTACTATCGCTACCATGTGGCGTTCACGCTACCACTCCTTTTTCTGATATTAGGAGGGTCAGAACTCACCTGTGGCAATGCCATCAAAAAGTGACAGCACCCGGATGGGCTTTCTTTTTTCAGCATTGACTGGAGGGTAAACCTTTGGTGGATCCTGCAAAAAGCAAAGTGGCAGCGTGAAACAGTTAGAATGTAAACTGTGGCAACCGTCACCACAGGGAGGGAACAGAAGGCTCCCAAATTTCTCAAGAGTTGATGCTCAACAGCAGTCCTAGACTTAAAGCCACTGGCTGACAGGTTCAAGTAGCTAATACACTAGGGGGTTGCAAGCAACAAGAGAAACCTGAGAATACTTGCAGATTTCTCTTGCCTTCTGAGTTCTCTTGATATCAAAAGTTTCTCTTTGTCCCCGTCCCCACCCCCACTCCATGCTGAACTCACAAACTCTTGATCATGATTGTTGGCAAAAAACATCTGAAGGCGTGAGGGCCAGTCTTCTCGTCGCCGGAGCAGGCCATAGATGCCCTTGTGGCCACACATGTAGCAGTTCCAGGGATCCTCCTTGATAGCTGCCTGAGCAGCCCCAGGACCCACCAATAAGTCCACACATTCTACACAAAAGCATCTGCAAACCAAAATAATTAATGCTAAGTGTGGAATGTGCTCAGCTCGGGATTCAACAGACAAACAACGGCTTTGATTTAGGCAGTCTGGGCCCTTCTGGAATTTCAGCATATTCACCCAGGCTTTGATTGGCTGAAAATGCTAAAAAGTCAAGCTGAGCATACTTCTAGTCAAACCACTTCGTTCCAAATACGTTTTCCCAATCCCTTGTTCTTAAGCCTGCCTTTAAACTGTCTTGATCCCAGTTTTCTTTTCCTTTCCTAGGTTATAGTTTAGGGGGACAAAGATGCAATCTTTCTAAACCACCACTTGATTCACCTGCAACAGTTGTTGTTCCCACACATCAGGACTTCACGGCCACCACAGCAGATGGTGCAATATGATTGATAGCCATCATCATCGTACTGATAGGCGCATTCCAAAAAGCAGTTCTAAGGAAACAAAGGTGAGGAATATTTCTTATAAGCTCCATAGGCCCGAGAAATTAGTTTCTCACATCATAAAAGTATTTTATAACACACTAACCACAAGTGTTTTTTAAATCTTATCTTACACATATAGGACAAAAAGCAATACAGTAGATGTTGCTATCTGCACTCAGAAATCCATAGTGGAGGCAGATTTGGTACTTGCTCTGACAAAAAAATATGTAACCGTCAGACAAGGGATAATCACAAAGCTGTTAACTGCTATGATCAGCTTTTGTCTGACTGGATTATAATGTCCTCCAAGGAGGAAAGTATTTGAAACATGACAGGAATTTGGGGGAATTTAAAAAAAATTTTCAGTAAGGGGTTTTCTTTCCTTTTGCCTTGATTGCCTTTGTCCTTTTGTAGTTCTATAGTCTCTGTATTTCACAAGTTGACTGCCCCACCAGTCCCAAAGTCACCCTTCCATCACTGTCCTGGTTGCTTCTGTGTCCCGTATGTTCTTACCTTGCAGTTTTGGCACATTCCTCCAATGAAGAGAGGGTGTTCCAGGGTGACATTCAGGCTTCCGCAGGAAATGCAGATATCTGAGAAGTGGTGTGATTGGTGAGTGAGGAAAGAAAGGAGATGCATTACCCTGGGCTAGTAAGTGAGAAAGATACCTCTCTCTCTCTCTCTCTCCCCTCTGACTCAAGGGCAGCATTCTTCTCTTTCAAAACCACACACTGCAATAGACTCACTGAGCATGGACCATCCTGGACTTTTCCATTAGACAGATGTGATCCACAAAAGGCCTTCCCTATGCTCAACTGTGAAAGTGCTGGGCTGCTTTTTGATTTGTTATCAGTGACTTTATTTGTGATATGTTTCAAGCATGCCCAGAGTCTACAAACTCTAATGGCAGAAGGATCCATTTGCCGACTGCTGAACTGCAGCTGTGGTGATCACCTTGAATTCTGGACAAAAATGCTTGCAGCAGAGTAGGGATTGGTTGTCATGCCTTATACATACTTTAATATGGGGAAGGACAAAGAATGTATTTGGTTAACCTCACCTTCAATATTCCTGCATTTCTGTCGAACCTCATAAACAAGACGTTCTAAAACAGCAAAATAATTTGTTAAAATAGGCCAGTGATGGCGAACCTTTTAGAGACTGAGTGCCCAAACCGCAACCCAAAACCCACTTATTTATCGCAAAGTGCCAGGGCCACATCAGCACTGTGGTGCCCTCAGGGGGTTGGGCGTGGCTGTGGTGGTCAGGGCAGACTGAGTGGGCGTGGGCGAGCTGGGCATGGCCACCTGGATGTTGCTCGTGGGGGATGCCTGTGGGGGCTGGGCAGGATTGGGGGAGATCCAGGGGGTCTCTGGTGGATGGGGCGGTGGGCAGGAGGCTCGTCCTGCAGGGTGAGGCAGGGGGTAGGGTGAGGGTGCCATTGCTGCAGGGCAAGACGAGGCAGGGGCGGCTGCTGCCTGGCACCATCAGCCCCCGCACACAGAGGCCAGCGAGCACATGGGGGCGCGCTCTACCACCTCTACTCGAGCTTGCTAGCCAGCTGCTTCGACTTTGTGCTGGGTGGGGCTGCCACTCCGGGCACCAGCGGTGGCCTAATGGACCTCCGCGAGCTGGCAGCGGCGGCAGCAGGTGTGCCCACAGAGAGGGCTCTGAGTGCCGCCTCTGGCACACGTGCCATAGGTTCGCCATCACTGAAATAGGCAATCAAGAAATGCCACAGGATCAATACATATAGTTGAAATTGAGGGCAACTAGACAGGCTTAATCTGTGTCCATGAATCAAAGCCTTAACTTAGCATTTGCTGAAGAAAAATGCTGGTGATGCAATATGCTGATTTTGGACCTAAGGAATTACATGAATTCCAATTAGAACAAGTTCTAATATTAAAGATGAAAAAAGAGAAGGCAGTTTAGTTCACATCAATAAGCTTAACTAGGCACAACTGATGTAATCATATAACATTTGTATTAGGTTAGTGTTAACTTTTTTGTGCCTTGTTACATGAATCTTGCCAGTGTAATTAACTTATGGTTCTATGTCCTGTACAGCCTTGATAATAAATCTATTATCAGGTTAAGTGTGTTGGGTGAACACAGCAAATATTTTCTTCTGTTTATTAATATTAATTCACAGAGTCCAGTTCTGGAACTAGTGAAAACAAGCAAAATATTGCCTTTGTATTAGAGAACTAGACTAAATGTATTCTTGGAGAATGGGAGGCCCCATCATTCTCTCCTTTTATCTATCCACATTTTTCTGATTCCATCCATTTTTAAGTATAATTTTTGGCAGGCTAGACGAGGCTAATATGGAATTTGGCCCCCAGAAAGTTGCTCACCCCTAGTTTAGATCAGGATGAAATTCATGAGTTATTTATAGCTATTTCTACCCAAGAGTTACCTTTTTTCTGGATTTTATTTTTCTTACAAAGGCCTGTTACTGCTTGTTTGTTATAGTCTGGAAGCAGACTTCCAGAAAATCTCTGCATTACTATCTAATCATGATGGGATGGTGGCAGTATTTCCCCCTTCTCTTTCACCTTCCACTATCGAAGTTCTCAAGTTAGAGAATGGAGGACGAGTTCTTTGAGCTTTGGGATGGGCTTTTATGATAATTCAATGAAAGATAGGAAAAGAGAAGCAAACAGGTGAGCTGCAATATGGGGAAAGAAGGTGAAATTAAAAGACTGGGGCATGGGAGAAAAGACCAACTGTCCAGATAAGAATGGCATGCACTGCCCCTCCCCCAAAAAACAGATGAACACGAGGAAGCCCTATATCTTGCTTTATGTGGAGTGTGGACTTGTTGAAGACAAAAACTAGGATTTTTTAATACTTCCAATTTCGCCTTTTCTGCAATGGGAGGAAACTATAGCATGCCCCAATGGTCCCACAAACAGCAGTAAGGTAGGACGTTGAGAGGTAGAAGTACATAGTGGTTTTGACTGTCTACCCTCAGATATAGCTTGGATTGGGGGAAAAAGATAAACAAGTGGAGATTAGCTGGGATAGCCAACAACCTCCAAGCTACCCATTCCATTCTATCCCAGGTATACCTCGGGTGCGCTCATCTATGATTTCCTTGACCTTAGGCTTCTCAGCTGTGCTTTTCCTTGGTTTTTTGGCTGGTGGAGGAGGGGCATAGGCAGCAGCTTCTGGTTCCCCCCACATGTCCATGTAAACTTCTTTGTAGGGGTTGCGTTCCTCTGAGATGGCAGAAAAAAAGTACATCAGTGGGCAGCAAGATAAGCAGGGTGGGAAATCAAGCTTTGATTCTTTTGATTTGGAGGCTTGTCTGTCATCAGACTTTGTGATACATGCCAGTGTGCCAACCTCCAAAGAGTTGTTTATCTGATTGTTCTTGTCCTGTGGAATCCTGCTATCAGAAGACAGGACTCTACCACACCCAGAGACAAACTGGCCAAAACCACCTGTTATCCCAGCTCCATCCTAGAATAAGGGGCGTTGGGAGCTGTGATGATTAAGCTCCATTTCTTTACCTTCAGGAGGCTCCAATCCCTTTGGGCCAGATGGCTGGAACCCTCCTAAGGCCCATTCAATCATCTGTTTGTTCTGGATTTCCACCGCTTTGGATGTGTCTGTTTCATCATTCTCTGGACAGGATGGAAAGATCTTGCCTGACCTGCTGCTGGCCACCTAGAGGGGAGACAGACGGGCCAACTGATTCTGGAATGAATGGTGTTCAGCTTGTACAGATGTCTTTCCCAAGCTTCATAACTCATTTTATTGTATTTGCATCCTACTTTTTCTCTCAGAGTAAAGGTCACGTCCATAGTATCTTCTTTAATTTAATCCCCATAACACATAGATAGGTTCAGATAGGTTAAGCTGGTCATCCCAGCTTAAATAGCTTCCTCCTGTATTGTCTTGGATGGATTTTGATCAAAATGGAACTTGAGTTTGGTTTCCTGTTCCTAGTCCAAGACCTTAACCACTAGTCCAAGACCTTAACCACTAGTCCAAGACCTTAACCACTAGTCCAAGACCTTAACCACACAAACAAAAATGATGTTCCCCAATCTCAACATATTTCTTACATTCTTTTGAATCCGTGAATCTGTCCAAGACAATACAGGAGGAAGCTATTTTCCCAAAAGCCAGATTGTTCATGTTTCCCAAAAAGTGTAGAGTTTCTCCCCCTCCCCTTCTCTTCTCATTTTTATTGCCTTCTCTTTTAATGCAAAGCTTTGCTTGCTTCCATGAACTATCTCAAATTCTTGAATGGCACATGTTGCATAAGGATACAATGAGCAATGAAAGGATATTCCTTTTTCATTCTCTGAGATGGGACACATGGACAATTTTGAAGATTATTTCTGTCCATCTATGAGCAGTCCATCTTATGTCCTGCAGATATCCTTATTCCACCACAGAAGTTAGTTACTACAGGGGAAAAGACTGCCAGGGAAACAAATCCCAGAGGAATGACAAAGGTAGTGCTTACCTGCAGTACTTCATAGATGGCCTTTCGATACATGGGCTGCTTGTTATATGTGGGCTGGTGAAAGGCGTTAGCGAAGGAGCTGAGTGGAAGGAGTTTCTCCACACAGACCTGCCAGAACAAAGAGATGAGGAAAATGATACCAACTTGTTTCTTTCCTATGAATAGCACGAGACTCTAAGGCTGGTTTCCTCCACAGCCTCACAGAAGGCTCTAGAGCAGGGGTAGGCAACCTTGGCTCTTTTATGACTCATGGACTTCATCTCCCAGAATTCCTGAGCCAGCCATGCTGGCTCAGGAATTCTGGGAGTTGAAGTCCACGAGTCATAAAAGAGCCAAGGTTGCCTACCCCTGCTCTAGAGTGAAGTGGGAAACAGAATGGAGGATTGCGCAACACATTACTTTCCTTTTTAAAAGTTTTTTTTTCTTTCAAAAATGCTTTGCAGTAGTGGATTTAAGGAGTAGGATGGGTCTCACAAAATATGTACTGCATATACTTAATGCAGTTATTTCATCCATCCTGAACCCGTCAAGCACAGATATTATTCCCAATATTGCAGTCTTTTTTTCCTGCCGGTCACACCACGGTCAGATATATCAAATGAATATTTCTCTCACACATGTAAGGAAAAGGCAGATTTACCCCAACTCCTCCCTCTTCAGGAAGAAGCAGCTTTTGAGAGACTGCAGGCAGTTCTCTTAGGAAAGGGAAAGAAGACAGAGATAAGAGAGAAAACTGGGACCATTCTCCTTCAACAGATTTAAATTTAAAATTTCTACAAAAGTCAAGAAGTTTAAATACACTGAATCGGAAGGAGCAAAATCTGATTCAATGCTCTGTTTCTCTTTAAATCTTTGATTAGATCTGTGCACAGCTTAATCTTTGTTTACGCGTTGTGTAATTATATTTGTTTTCTTCACATAACGTAGGAGTATTAAATTTCTGCCTTCAGGGCATATGTGTCGTTGAGCTCTTAAAATTAGTTTTAAGTTTGTCGCATCCTGTGATTGGCCATAAGTATTATATTTACTTTATATTTTCTGTTGGATCCTTTTTAAAATTCCATTGATTTGCAGTTGCTGGATTCCCGGATCAGAACAGAATTATACTTTATTTTTTCCAATACAGATTATTTCCCACACCTTTTCAGCTCAATGGAAATTTGACCCTTCTCTCCCTGGCTAGGGAAGATATTTATTCAACATTTACATAATGGTTTTCACTAGCCTGATGCTGATTCTTAATTCACAAGCTTCAGAAGATTGGGAAGTCAACTGGGTTGATGGGATATCCCAGGGGTAGGCAACCTTGGCTCTTTTATGACTCATGGACTTCAACTCCCAGAATTCCTGAGCCAGCATAGCTGGGTCTGAAATTCTGGGAGTTGAAGTCCATAAGTCATAAAAGAGCCAAGGTTGCCTACCCCTGGGATATCCCATAACAGGGCAGCAGAGAAGCAGAGAAGGGAAGAAAGGGAAGGCAAGTTTGAGAGGACAGTTTAGACTGGTGGGATAACCCACTCTTGCAGTTGCTAAGAGGAGGATGGGGGTAAGTGCATTGGCCTTGCCTTACTTGGCCTCAAAATTACTTCATGGTCTCTGAAGGCTTTGTTTTGGTCAAAACCAAGAACAACAAAGTAAGTTCTAGGTTTTCTTTCTGCCAAATCATGGCTGATCCAGTAATTTAGCAAACAAGAGAACATGAGATTTTTGCTTTTTGTTTGAAACAAAACATTTCTCTTTTACACACTCATAATCATTTTGTTAAACAGTTTTTCCCACCTCACAGAAACAGTGTAACATGCATTAACACATCAATAATCTGCAAAAGTACGCAAATTAATAACATTCAAAATATTTACCCTTTATTTTAAATCACTAGGATTTCAAAATAGAAATTGTTTTATGGAAACGAAAAAGCTAAAGATAAACCATCTATCGGTAGTATTGATAAAAGCCAATAACTTCCTATTTTTGTGAGTCAGGGTTTCTTATAATTGCTGCTAAAAATAGAAATATCAATACAAAATAAATGAGGAATGAAAAATGACAATGGCTGTTTTCAAAATAAAATTTAAGTGCATTGTAAAAAAAAAGAAAAGAAAGCTCATCGTTGCTTCCCATTAAAATACAGTTCAAATTTCATTGTTTTTTTATTTCCGGTGGAAAGGTTTTCCTTATAAAGTTCTTTCATCATTTTAATCGATACATACATTAAATATAATTATTAAAAGGAGGTAATATATGTATTTCTTGCCAGTTCTAACCACAATTAAATCATGTTTTATATTTTAAGGGACTGTAGTATTGCAAAACTTGCAAATCCTTACTATACTGTAAAAGTATTTATATTACTGTTTTGTGACTGTGGCACCACACATATCACAGTTTTAGAAACAACAAAAACCTTAAAAAAACTGCTGATTAATTTGAGACTCAGAAACTGGACTATACTTGTAGTTATGGAACAAAGTGCTGAATAAACAATAGCTAAATTCACACATTGTGCTAAACCCTAATGTGGTTACTTTCATTCTGGCTTAGCACATTGTATTAATCCAGGAAGCACAGCTTGTAAACTAAAGCTTATGGCACAGATAAACAACCTGAAGCCTCAGAATTATATGCAGTCTTGAATACTCCAAGTAGAGTCCTAAGAGACTCCTTAAGTTGTTAACAGGTTCTTTCCAATGTTCTAATAAACCTTGACTGATCAGGCTTCTGAATTCAGCGCACTGGTTTTAACCTCTGAAGCACTATGTTTCAATCTGCAGCATCGCAGGTATAAGATAAGAGACTGTCCAGGGTGTGAGACCTACCTGTAAATAGGCATAACGACATTGGGGGGGGGGCGCACTCAGTCGTGATGCCAAGATATTATAATATCCAGCTAAAAGAAAGTCCTTTTTGCCCCAAAGGAAAACTTCTGCAGTGCGCAGTTTTATCTGCTACCTTTTAGCACAAAGATGAGCTGCTATGCTATTTTCAGCTGGATTTTAAAATGTTTTAATGTTAATTATACAAGGATTGCTTTCAGTAGTTGAAAGTTGGCATATAAATATTCGAAATGAAATAGATAAAATAATAAAGTAAGAGCACAAGGAGGACTGTGCATACGAAGAAGCAGGTTCATAAGAAAAAGCAAGTCTTTTTCTCCCAGTTTGGGACCTTTTCAGAAAATCCACCTGGAGCTCAGACACTTACCACAGAGAACTTCCCATCACCGAACCACATGACCCAGCGGGTACCTTCAGCAGCCCGGCTCCTGCCAGTCATCCACCAGGAAACAATGCGGCCTGGCCACCAGGAGAATCCACGCAGTTTTCCCCACACCAGCTCCCCGATCCCAAACCCCCGGCCATCCTGCAGTTGAAAAGAAAAAAAAAAAAAAAAGCAAATCATTATAGTGATTGGAAAAATTGAAGGGAATCACTCCGTCAATGACGGCCAGGGCTTCTGCTAAAACCCCTAATTTGGGATGGCTTTTATGAAGGCTGTGGCACAGTTATTAATCCCATGTGCATGATTCAGAGAACATGCTGAAGAACAGATACCTCATATATAAACAAGGTGAGTAAGCAATGCTTTGGAAGAAACCTGAATGTGGCTGGAAGAGAACTTAGGAAATGGGAAGGGCAAGGAGATGAGCCTTGAAAAACTTTACAGGAGGAAAAAGCAGATGGGCAGGAATTTATTTTATTTATTTATTTTTAACTTTTCTGAATCAGATAGAGCAGGGGTAGGCAACCTTGGCTTTTATGACTCGTGGACTTCAACTCCCAGAATTCCTGAGCCAGCCATGCTGGCTCAGGAATTCTGGGAGTTGAAGTCCACGAGTCATAAAAGAGCCAAGGTTGCCTATCCCTGAGATAGACATTCATCTGCTGACTTTTCTAACAGCGCCAAACGTTTTCTGACAGTGTCAATAGCTAAGTGAAAAAATCTGACTTCTCATTAGCCCTCCTAAAGTTCACTCTAGTCTACAAGTGCCATCCTGTTTCTTTACCCACTCAATTTCAGCTATTTCCTAGATCCAGACTCTGGCCTCTTCTTTATTTGTTCCACATTTTTTTTCCCTTTTCTTCACCTGTAGGCTCTCCCTCACAACCCCTATGTTAAACAAACTTCTTAAGTCTATTCTTCTCTTCCATTTTCTCGCCCTTCATCATCATCATTATTCATGTGTCCCCTTCAGGCTCTTCCATCTATCTGCACTGCATATTCACGGCATCTAATATCTAGCTGCAGCTTCAGTGGATGGCACTTCCACCAGCATGGCACTTTTGATGGGAAAGGTGGCACTTGTTAGCCTTTTTCCCATTTTATTCAACTAGCAGTAATACAAACACAAATGCTGTTTGGAGACAGGAAAAGGTTAACTAGGAATGCCTCAAGAACGAGAATGGTGGGAAAAGAATCTTCGGGGAGCAGAACTCTGTCTCTGATTCACCTCATATTCTGGCTCATCATCAGCTGACTTTGATATGCTCTTGTCTACAGCATCAGGCCCCACAGGCTCTGGGGTAGTAGCCACACTGGGAGAAGCAGGGTCGGTTGGCTGCTGTGAGGCTGGTGGGCTAGCTTCCTCCTCCTTCTGGGGCTCGCTCTGTGGTGTTTCTTCCACAGCATTCATTCCAGCAATTACCTTAGCTTTCTTTTCAGCCTGCAGAAAGAACAGAGTTAAGAAGGTAGAGAGTTGTGAGAACGTTCTTGAAGAATTTATTTCTGAGTTGTTTTTTAAGTTTTACTCTTGATCTCTCAATAACTGCATTGTCATAATGTGCTAAACTTGGTTACTGAATTAATCTATTTTCTGCTTTCTCACAATATAAAATAATAATAATAATAAAATAACCAAAAGGACTGGCAATACACATTATATTAAGCTGCCATTAACACAAAACACATATAGCATGTTATGTAGATATAACCACGCAGGTAGTCCTCAATTTACAACCATTCATTTAGTGATTGTTCAAAGTTACAATGGCACTGAAAAAAAATGACTTAGGACTGGTTTTCATACTCAAGATCTTTGTAGCGACCCCATGGGCACGTATTTATAATGGTTGCAATGTCACAGGGTCATTTTGTGACCTTCTGACAAGCAAAGTCAATGGGGCACAACTGTGTTGCTAACTTAATAATTGCAATGATTCACTTAACAACTATGGCAAAAAGGTCATAAAATGGGGCAAAATTCACTTAACTGTCTTACTTAGCAATGGAAATTTTGGGCTCAAATGTGGTCATAAGTCAAGGACTACCTGTATTAAGTATTCAAATCTCTGATTATGCATGTTGTGTGAATACAGGCATAATGACAGTCACATAGGTTCACTTAGTCCCTCTAAAGTTATGGAACTATTTTTTTCTAAAGCAAAGCTAGATGATTTGAACAACTGGACTGTTTTACATGTACCAGATTGTTTAGCACATGATTCTACAAAGACTCCAGAAATGAAGTACATCATGTAAACTACCAGAGATTTAGATAAGATTTTACCATACTATAACCTGACATAATCTTTGGAACAGGAGAGAATGAATTACATTATATATTATTTTTAATTGCTTTACAATTTGCAACAGTCTGCCCAGTCCTCATATCTTCCATATGTCATGTTTCTACCACATACTTGGCAAGCTTTATTTAACAAAAAATATCTAACAGTTGCTTTTACACAATGAAAATGTGTTGAGGATGTTGTGGGAATCCAGCCTATATCTTATTGCAGGCTGAGGAATTCTGGGAGTTGAAATTAATCTATATTAAAGTTGCCAAGTGCGAAAAACACTGGGCTAAAAAGATAACAAGTGCTGCATTCAAATGCCTTTGGGGAGCATCAATTTAAGGAAGTCTAAATCATCTTGCATTTGTCTTCACAAAAATCAGAATGAAATCATTTGTATTCCCACAGTAAGGGGGCTGTGGTGGTAGAAGGGAGTGCTGGCTGTTTCCTGTCTGTGGCAGGAAATGAGAAACTACAATCTATGGCTGCCAGGGTGGGGTTAGCTTGCCCCACTGGGACAATCCCACATTCCATAACAGAGCAGTATAAGACAGACAAAAGAGAAAAAGCACTAAAACAGAATAAAATTAGGGAGGACAATTCTTCTATGAAAAAATAAAAATATGTCTTACAGTGTAGGAAAACACTCTATTTAGTGAACTACACTGCTTTGTACATAACCATAAAATATGTAGTCAGTTGCCTTTTCTCTGTTAGGAACATAATTGTGTGAGAGTGAAGGTTTGTTCTCCGAGCTTGTTGGTTGGTTTCTGAACGTTTCGTTACCAGGCTAGGTAACATCTTCAGTGGCTTTACCTAGCCTGGTAATGAAATGTTCGGAATCAACCCACAAGCTCAGAGAATGAACCTTCACCCTTATCCTACATCCAAGCTACAGATATTCACCACTACTGCAAACATATTTGTGTTTCCATGAGAATGAAGGAGCTGTCAATATTTTCTGGAATAGATGAAGCAAGAATTATAATATTTGGGCAGTCAGAGAGTACACTTAACCAATTTTCAGTTGATTCAAATACCACAGTAGATGGAGGAAAGTGCAATAATCTAGTATGTTGCACACCTGGCAAAACTACAATTACAGTAGAGAATATTGGTTAATTAGGGTTTTTTTTTTTCTTTTTTGCTATACCATCTCTTGTGCTAGGCCTCTCATGGCAGCATACAACAAGAAAACACATTTTGTCCAATTTCAAATAAGGCAAATAAAATATAAATATATTAATGCCTATAAAACAAACCAGAAGCAAGAAAAGCACAGAGGAGCATCAGGCTACAATATTATACATTAAGCAGGTTAAAAAAACATCCAGAATGTATTTAAGCTGCATTAAGCATATTTTATGGCTATGTTACAGTTTTCTTGATTTCCTGCCTCAAAACAACAGGAAACTGATGATTTTCAGCAAAGATGAAATTTGACAGCATAATCTGCATAGTCTCTGAAGATCACAGGATGTCTTGATGCAGGGCTAAAGTGTCACATTAAATCCAAGCTGGGCAATCAGAATCCTGAACTATGACCTCAAGTGGTGAGTTGTATATATCAGGCAAATTACAAACAAAAACAACTGCGTATTAGTAGTTTCTACTACACATTTAGAAATTAGAAATTGGCACAAAACTCTTACTAAATATGTATTATTATAAGCATGCTTATCTCTAGTTGCACTATTAGGAAGGTTTAACCCAAAGACACGTTCTCCTTTTCTCTTAAGAGATGAATATGTTCCCAAGAAAGAGAAGAATGAAATTATCACAGCAGTGTCTCAAGATGAGAACAGGCATGAGCCATAAGGAAATATTTTTAAGTTTTCTCATATCTTAAATGTCATAAATATTACAAAGGAGGGATAATTGGAAACTTTCCTATGGACTGTCAAACATGAATACATCAAATGCCTATCAGTTCTGTCATTTTCCAATTCTTTGGCATTGCAGTGGTCTCAAGAAGGGTGACAGCAACAAGAGGGCATGGGAGAAATTAGTTCCTGTCTGTCTGTCTGTCTGTCTGTCTGTCTATCTATCTATCTACCTACCTACCTACTTACCTACCCATACATACATACACACACACACACACATAAAAATCAGGATTAAAACAAATACTTATCTTCTCCACCTGGAGCTGCTCTAAACTGAATAAGATTTCCAGTCATTGCAAGCATAAATCACATTGTGAATTATGACCAGAGGTCATAACTGGATTTCTGTAGACTCTCGTATTAAAATAGCTAAAGTGTTTCCATACACAAAATAAAATGCCAAAATCAAAGATATTTTCTTTCCCATATACGCACAGATACAGATATACATCATATTTGATGACAGAACAGCAAGTTGGTGATCAATGCAAATCATAAATGGTCTAAAGTTAACATTTAAATTGAGACAATTGCATCATCACAAAAATAAGACACTTAGCCATCTTTATTATCCAAGTAAAATTTCTCCTTCTCCAAACTGATTTACTGATTTTTTTTTTCATTTATTACATAATTACTAAGAGTCATAGTTTTCAGTTTGTACTTTCAATTCTGAAACATTCTTACCTTGCATTGGAAGTATCTCTGGCAAAACACAACTATAAGAGACCCACAGTGCAGACCTGGGGCCAGCACTAAACATTTCCTCCCCCACTCCACTCCCTTATTGATTAGAGGGGCAATTCCCAGAGTGATCATGAGTCTTCTGTAGGTGCTCAACCAGGACTTTTCTCCCCACAAAATAGCTAGCATTTCTTTACTATCTTTTAGATGCTAAGTTACCTAAATACCTCTTGCTTCATTATCTAACTTTTTCCACCAATGGTCTTTTCTATTCTTGCTCTGTTGATTACTTACTTTGAATAGATGCTTTTACAGAGCATCTGTGAGCCTGCCTTTGCTTTGTCTTTATCCATACTGGCTAATGACTACTACTGCATTGTATTATGCTGTTTACTACTTCCCTTAGCAGTAATAAAACTAATTACCAAATTATTTCAGCTTATTACTTGTTACTTTGTAAAGTATTTGCATAAGGCCGACAAATTTTATATTTAGCTTGCCACTTGGAATATAGTCATGGATAATAGCTCCTGTCATGTATAAATTTTATGAACAAAACAATTTAAGAAAACTAAGCAGGTCTCTGTAAACATTTTATTCTTAAAAACAGGACCCAGAGTTTAATCTGTATATGGATCAGAAATACATCCCTGCTTAACTTTCCCGCCAAATACCAAATAAAATTGTGTATTTGCACAATCAATGAAGCATAAGCCAATCAAGTGGACTAGCTTAACAACATGCTAAGCCAGGCATGTCAAATTGCCACCCCACAGGCCAGATGCGTCAAGCTGAAACCCCGCCCACCCTAATGTCAGCAATGGGGAAAAGTCGCGATACGTCACACGATGTCACGTGACATCGCCAGTTTGACATGCCTGTGCTAAGCCATAAAAAAAAACAACCAAATTAAAATTAAACTAACTAAACTGATCTGGTTTAGCCATGTCATTCAAACTAAGACTACGATTCTTCATTTATTTTAGATGCAGGACTTTTTAAAATAACAAAATATGTACAGTTTTGCAGATTCCACTGCTTAATTTTTACAGGTGGGATCCCTGTGAATTTTCTCCAAGTACAGGGTTAAGAAAACATTCCTCCTGGATATTATCATATTTCCTCCCTCAACATGGCATGCTGCGGGACTAATAAAAAAAAAGAACAACAATAGAAAAAAATGGAAGGACTTTGGAGTGTATTCAGAAAATGTCTTGAGCCTCAAAAGCACTGCACTCCTGTGCTACTCATTAAAGCAGCTCACTCTTTTTAGGCTTCTGAATAAAAAACAAATGCAGCTGGTTTAACAACTGCACTGTGTAACAAGTTGACTCCATAATGCAGTGGCATCTTTTTCAGTCTCATGCATAAGCATAACAAAAAAAACCTCAGGTCACTTTAATGTACAGATAGTCCTCGACTTACAACCATTTGTTGTTCTATTTAGCAATGGAAATTTTGGGCTCAATTGCAGCCGTGAGGATTACCTGTATAGCAGAGGTGCAGTACTTGCCTGAGTTGTGAAACACTTGCTCCAAGTTTCTTGGAGAATGGATTGGGGGAAAACATATAATAGATATAAACATGGCTGCATTATCCTCTTTTGATCCCCAAAACAACGTGATGCATAACTGTGTAGCAGAGTGTTTTGTACACTTTTGTATAGGAGTGTTCTTCTCTTCACAGCTTTAGGAATTAGAATGCTGGATTTCTTCTTAATTTC